AAAGAGAAATAAACGTCCAATTACCAATGGCGATACTGAAACCCAAAGAACAAAATATACATACAGTGTATACTCAACTAAAGTTTACAAGTTAATTCTGTCATCGGGAATGCGCTGTTCGTTTGGATATATCATCGTCATAGAAATACTGGAAGTTTACATAATGATATTAAGAACAACTTAAAATGCGGACAAACAGCAACACGAAAATAACACCGGCTAAAATATAGCACTCTAAAATTAACTTTCATTTGCAACTTTTTCCGGCGAAAAGCTCACCGCCAAAAACACACAAAAAGCTCACGGCAAAAATGTTCGAGACAAAACGGGAAATATTTGCATCTTCTTTCTGAGGAAGAATTTATGCGTGGTTAATATCCGCAAATATTTAAATAACTAGTGAATTTTTTGAAAAAATAATACGCTCTCAGGTAGCTTCACATTTGTACAATATTAAATAAAGGTAATGTAATTTGCAGGACGGTTATTACCAAATAAAAACAGATATAGTAAAATATTTAGACAAGCGAATAACAAGAAAAGCTGCTTCCAAATTCAAAACTGTTGTTCAAATACAATACTAAATGTAGTTATGTAACTGAACGATAGATTTTACAGTAATTTACAGGTAATTATGGTTTTCTCTTGTTCACCTTTGATCTGACAACCTGGCAGCTATAGCTAGTTTTGACAGAACGGTTTGTATGAAACTACGACTGAAAACGACTTTCACTTTGACCGCTATTTCAAAAACATTTCCCAGGAGCATCTGAGATCCCAGAGGGAAATTCACACAACGGTAGAAATCCGAAAAGGTCATGGCGAAATATAAATGAATAACTCCGTGATTTAACACAGTTATGAAGTATGTCTCTTCCACTAAAGTTTTAGCATATGACGAGACTGACTTTTGCAACCAAGCAAGTTATTTCACGTGCACTTTCAAAACACATGCAGCACTATCACGTGACACTGTTATTATGCTCTACAAGGTTGTTCTAGCTTTAAAATCTATGGATAAGATCCCTATGTTTGTGCTCTCATATTGAATCTATGCAGTATTTTCATATACCTTTTACGGCAAAAAACACTCTTAGGTACATTGTTTACTTTGGCACCCTTGAAATGAAATCAACAAGGACTTCACATCTTCATTTCCGGGCTGTCTGGTTTTCTTTGCTGTAAATGTTTCAGGGTTTGGTCTAGAATTTAGTTATAAATCAAGACAACATCCTCCAGCATATAGCCTTCCTTCTCACTGCTTAGTCCTTATTCAGAGTCCTTAGTCAAGAAACAAATTCTGCCTACTGCTTTTGAGGTATCTAGACAATTCTTTTTTGAGGTTACTCTCTAAATCCTCTTTACTGTTTCTTCGTGATTAGATTGAGATTATCAGGAGAACTTTAAGCTGATCGCTCATGAGACTTAATGGCTAAGGAAGCATTGATACATGAACTGGAAAGCAATTGGTCAATGATCCAATCAGGCCCTTCGTCTCACAGTTTGAATATTCATCAACAACAGTACTTCGGACATTGTATTCTTAAGGAATGCTTGTATTGACCACACCATGAAGGGCTAGGGTATCTGGTCAGGCATATAACAAGGGTTTCTTGAGATAATCTGGACAGTGAAACAATAACATCTCTATTATTATGTACAATAGTAAAAAAAATCTCTTCCTTTTAAAAGAAAAATACGAAATATTGCGCCTCACCTAATAAGGAATCCAATGTCTCAGTTTGATTCTTTTTCCTCTTGAGTCTCAGCACAGCTTTTGTTTTTTCTCGGTTTTGTATCTAGTAAGAATCAGAATTGTTTTAACCTGAATGACATCCTTTATATCATAATTTCAGAACTAAGAATAATCATCAGATTTTTTCTATTTCAATCCTGCCAGGGCAGGTTTTAACAATGAAGGTAAGGTTAAGTCTGCATCAGGCCAAGTGATCCAAACCACCACAGCTTATCCAGTTCTGGTTACAGAACAGGCGATGTTCGTACTTTTTGCGAGGTCGAACCAGAAACTTTATACCATATCCTTTACCAATGCCCCTCTACTCAAGGCAATTTTGGAATGATTTTGAATCTTATTGGTGCCTTTTATCAAATCAACAGGTTTGTCTTTCTTTACAGGATGTTATATTTGGTATAATATCTACGCGATGCCCCTCAGCTACATATAAATTACTAAATTACTTTATTATTGTTGGAAAGCTGTTTTTCTGGGACTGCAGAAGAAACCAAAATATATACATCCTAAAATTAAAGGTTATCAAAAGAAAATAGCTAAAAAATATGAAACTGAACATAAATGTAAAATAAATAAGAATTCTTTTGAAAAAAAAAAATGGATATTTAGCAAATCAATATGTAGATACATGTAGATTAAATACGTAAGTAACCAAAGAAGTAATTTAGATTGATTTGCTCTTTGTAATCACGAAGTTATTCATTCATTTATTTTTTTGGGTCCTTTGTTCTCGTTGTCTTTTTTCTTGTGCAGTTTTATTTTTGTCACTTGTAGTATAACAAAAGGTACTGATGTAAACTTAATAGCCGTTTATTAATTTTTAGCCTATTTTTTTTACCAATTGATGTAAGTCATTGAATGGAAATAAAAATGTGAAAAAACAAAAATGTTGTATTATTATTGCACCTGGATGAGATGCTATTAGCATCCCGACAATTAAATTCACCCAGAACCCATTATTTTGTACACCTACATGTAGGTGGAGGGAGTTACTGTAGCATGGGAGTAAAGTGTCTTGCCCAAGTACACAATGCATGCAGAGACTCTAACCATTACATGTAGCTCAAACCCAGACTGCTTGATGTGCAGACCAGTACAGTAACCATCAGACCACTGTGTCCCTCCTCTCCCAGAACGATACTCCTCGACAACAGTACCCAAGACATTGCAGTCTTAAGGATTTTTGTACACCCTACCCTTGAAGGGCTAAGGTATATGGCCACATAACAATTAACGGTTTGCTGAAATGGCTGAAAAGTTGTGCAACAAGAACATCTATCTATTTGTTTTAACTTTTTGCCCGCATTGTGCACAATATTATTATTACTATTATTATTATTCCTCGTCCATGATACCAAATATAAATAAAATTGTGACTGACCTGCTAAAGAATCCAGTGTCTCAATTTGATTCTTTCTCCTCTTCAGTCTCAGCACATAGCTCTTTTCCTTGCTTCTCTGTTTTGTATCTAGTAAGAAACTGCAAATGTTTTAACTTTATGTAATTCCCTGATAGTGTAAGTTCTACAAACTACACAGATTTATAAAGATTTAACCCTACTAGGGTGAGTTTGGACTTAGGCTATGAGTAGTCCCTCTTTCACTTAGTCCATTGAGCAAGACTGTAAATAAACCGTGAGGAAAAATGGCCACGTGAAATCCTGGGAGAGTGCTTTTCGCCTCCAGGAGTTCGCACAGCCATTTTATCTCGTGGTTTTCTTTCGAGTCACACATGACGTACTAAGGAAAGACGGACCACTCATACACTGTAGTCTAGTTTGGACTAGAAGGTACCATAAAGTCTGTATCAGGCCAAGTGATCTAAGCCACCACAGCTTAACCCAGTCTTTGTTGCATTAAGTGATACTGAGTAGTTCTACTCCCCCCTGGATGGGATGCTAATCTGTCTGTTTCACAGAACCAAACAATTATAAAAAAATCATCAGATTTTTAATTGTTTCAACCCTATGGGGGCAAGGTTTGACAATGATGGCATGGGATGAGTTGATGCAAGTCTGTTGCAGGGTTAGCACCCATGCAGATTAAATTTACCCAGTACCTGTTTGCACACTTAGGTGGAGAGATAGAGAGTGTGAGAGTAAAGACTGTCTTGCTCAAGAACACAACAGAAACCCTAACCATTACCTCAAACCCAGACTTCTTGATCTGCAGTCCATGCAGTGTGCTTAGATGTACATTGTAACAGCTGTTAAATCTCTGTGTCCCACCACTCTCAAAAGAATACAATGGTATCCCTGGCATTACAGTTTTAAGGAATTTTGAAGGTCTTAAGTGCAGTATGGCCACATCCCTAACCCAAACTCTTCCTTTAAAAGAAAATTATGACTCACCTTATAAGGGACTCAATGTCCCAATTGATTCTTTGTCCTCTCAAGTCTCAGCACATACTGTACTTTCATTGTTGCTTCTCTATTTTGTATCTAGTAAGAAACAGGAAATGTTTTAATCTTAAGTTTATGACAGCCTTTATCCCTTAAGTTTTACAAACTACATAAAAGTAAGTCATCAGTTGCGTAAAAAAATTCAGCCCTACTTGGGGAGAAGTTTGCGAATGAAGGTACCATAGAATCTGTGTCGGACCAAGTGATCCAAAACACCACAGCTTGTGTGGGTTTTGCAAGTATTAAGTAAAAAAGTACTATAATTTTGTCCCCTTCCCCACCATCTGTCGCAGGTTTAGCCCCCAGCACTGAATTCACCAAGTACCAACTGTACACCTGGGTGTTGATAGGCACTGTGAGAGTCAAGTGCCTTGCCCAAGAACAAACCAAAGACTGCTTGATGTGCAGTCCAGTACACCACCCATTAGACCACTGACACTGCCTCTTCAATATTTTCCACAATAACAAATCATAACTATAAATGGTCAAGGAACTATGGATGCATACAGTGGAAAGAAATTGGTCCCTCCTCCCACAAATGAGCATTCATCTACAACTGTATCCCAGGGATGGCTAGGTAATCTCCTCACAAACAAGTAAATAGCACCAATGAAACAACATTGAACAACACTGAAACAACTACTTGTCATTCCCAGTGCACGTACACGTACAAAATGCAGCAAAATTAACAAAGATCAATAAGCACTCCAATCATTCCACTCCATTCCAATACACCATAAACACTGGCGGATAAGACGCACGCGCAGATAAGCCACTCCCCGAGTTTGGCAACTCAAATTTTGGACAAAAGTTTTTTGAAAGAAATCAAAACAATTCACAAGTGGAGCTTGAAGAGGTTCGTTACATGTAAGCTTGATTTATTGAATGCAAACCCAAGTAAATGCACTAACATTGAAAACAGAGAAGACTTCAAACTGAAAGCCTTAACTACAAATTTAGTTCTGCAGTAGTATAGACTTGATGTCTACCAACTTTTACATATGTTTGATCTTTCTCTGGTATATTGCAACCAGTATTTTTTCATTCCTGTCAGTTTTTCAATAAAATTTTACATACAACAACAACAAGAACACTTTGTTCATTTGTTCGTAGCTTACTACTAGGCAAACAATTCACCAGGAGATCGAGTACTGGACACAAGTAGCTTTTGAGATGTACATGTAAATACCTTTGTGGTTGACTGAAGATTCCCCGCCGAGTAATATAATGTAAGCTGCTCAAGAATGTCTACCTTACACCAGTTAAAAGAATTTTTAACAAAGGTTTAATGCTGTTTTAGTCTCAGCACGTAGAATAATTTATTGTTGCTTCTCTGTTTTCTATCAGGTTAAAAATAGGAAAGGTTTGAAAAGCACTCTAGCCTTATAAGCACTGGAAAAACTGCAAATATGAAACAAGAGGCTGCAGTGTGAAGATGAACAACAGGACAGGGATGCAGATAGCAAACACTACCCAAAAGGTTCCCCCCATTACAGATGCTTTACCAATAATCTTGTCTTATAGCAATGCAGGATGTGTATGCTTGAGAGATAAATAAGGCTTATATGAAAGACATGCAGCTAGGATTTGCCTGTCAGAACCTATTTCTATTTTAAACAAAGCAATATACCAAACATTTGAACCAATAATGAAGCTGGTAAATGCACTAACCTACTAGTGTTAAGACTGTCTCATCCCACCAGCAGCATGATGGTGTTAAGGCATTGAACAGTGCAAAATGCAGACCTTGATTTGAATCTGGTCAGGCATTGTTCACCTGGCAAAAATCAGAACCTGCTGCCTGCAGGCTTTAAGATGAGACCATTCTCAGGATGGTGTCAATACCTAAACCTTCATCTGGACCCTCATTTCTATGAGAAAATACAATATTGTGCTGAAATCAAAGAACTCTATGTCAGTCAACTCATTCATGCTTCTGGCAATGAAGTGATTTGGGTAGTAAAATTGTTTATTAATGTTGGTGGAACATCAAGAAGGATTGTAAATGCACAAATGTATTTATCCTGTACGATATGATGTGCATGCACTTTAACATTATACATGTACATGTATTAATGTTTATAAATATCTCTTTAACTTAATAATCTATTTTTAATTGTACAAGGAACAATAACTTAATGAATAAGCCCCTAACAGACACTTGCACTCTGGCCATCTTTATCCACGCTTATGCAGTCCCAACATCTGTAGACAGCCTGTCTGACTCAGAAAGTAACTCATCCATCCCTTGCATTAACCTATGTGTTTGTATTTAACATAATAATTATTCACCTCTTAAATGGCATCCTTCCACATAGATGTATACACTAAAGCAAGCTATTATTTTGTGGTTAACTTTGTTTTTAAGATAAAACATGTTACAGTTTGAAAGGCTGCTTTAATAGCTGTTGTTATAATTATCACTTGTACTGTACCTTAACCAATCAGTTTCCATGTTGATATCATATTATCCTGTGTTGAAAATCCAGGCTCCTTTCTATTTGATGATGTGTGCATTCTGTGGAAACAAACAATGTACATGTAAGAGGGTACTCTTCTAGTAATAATTAAAACTACATTACTTACATTCATTGTACATTTATAATTGAAGTCTGTCAGTGACTATATATACAAGTTTTGTACATGTACAAGTACTCTGCACCCTGAATGTGCATGTGTCATTGACCAATCAAAATTCA